AGGTTCCTAAGGTCAGTTGATGCTTCACGACACCACGCGGCGGCCCCGTACTCTCCTTGACTGGACTCAAGGGTTACCGGTACTCACCAAAGTGCCACATCAACGTAGCAGACTGCTTCAACCGTGTCGGTGTACCCCGCACAGTTCCCTCACAGTCTTGTTGCTACTTTCTAAGAAGGTATCCCCCAGATCCGGGTTAGGATCTATAGAACTCCCAAGACAGTACCCACAATAATAAAGCAAACAATTCAGACAATAGAAAACACAAGTATGAGCTATCCTAAGGTACACCTCACTTTAAAATATATCCCCAGCAGAGTCGCCAGTTCTGTGATCGGTGGATTTAGAACTGACTGTTTAACGCTGGTTTCGCGAAATGTCGCGGAAGCAAGAGTCGCCACCGTCTTTTATTTTCTCCAACATGGATAGGACAAAAGCACAGCAAAATTCCTTATGAGATAGTTTCTCGGTTCGGGAGGTAGATTTATAGAAAGGGAAGGTGTTATCACCCTTTCTATCCATGGTTATCCATGGGCTCTTAGATACTTGCTCTTATGTTTTCAAAATGTTTGTTTTTCAATTGTGAGTGGGTTTGAAAAAGTTTCATTGAAAGATTTCTGAATAACTCTTGTATCAGTCCTCAAGAGTGTTTGAAAAATTGTTTTGAAAGCTTTTTGAAAGTGTCTGTGTGAAAAGTATTTTTTGATTTGTTTTTGAATAGAGCAAGTATCCATGAGTCATCTACCTACCCTAAGGAATTAGGCTGTGTAAATGTCCTTAAGGTAGTGCCATCCCACCATTGAGAGATAGGTAGCACCACCGTTGGAGGTGTTCGGGTCAATTCGAGCGTAGGGACAGTGTGGTCACCGAAGCAACAGTAGGACACCTTAGAAGCTACCCTTATGTCCTTGATCCTTTTTTAATCCGAGGCAACCGTTTCGAGGCAACTATTCCGAGGCAACTGTTTCGAGGCAACCGTTTCGAGGCAACTGTTTTGAGGCAACTGGATCATAGACATAAGGACTTACTAAAACGTCTTATACTTGACGACCACGTTTCAAAGGCAACAGGTGAGGCGTACCCTAGAAGTGGTGTGTGTATTTGTGTGTTGTTTTCAGTTTAACAGTTATCTTTGATCATGGCATTGTGAGCTACGCTTGTTTTTAATTAACCATACATTCTTTCATGCAATTTTAGAATTTAAGAGTGCGGAAAGTAAAATACAGGAAAATAAAGGCTACGCTATTACAAGGCGCGGGTCTATACATCGCCAAAGTACAAAGACCCGTTTGATAAAAATGCAGAAAGTAAATAAATACCTAATTACCATTACATCCTTGAGCAGTTACATAATATTCAAAAGAAAATAAAGCGCGAAAGAAATAAATTGGACGTCCGAGGGTTTTGACCCTTTTGAAATTAAATTGAATTAAAGCTAATTAATTATTTAATTAAAAGAAAGGTGTTTTTTTATGTTTTGTTGAAATAAAGAAAATAATTTACAAGGAAACCCTAATTCTAGATTATTTTTAGCTATTAAAGAAAATATTAAAGTTAACTTAATTTACGCTAATTAATTAATTTACATGTTTATTTACAAAAATAATAATTAATAATAATAATAATAAATAATGAGGAAATATTAATTAAGAAAAAGATGAAAATTTCAAAAAACCTAATTCTATGCATTTTATTTATTTATGAAAGCATCAAAATTAAAACCTAATTTAACTAAGTTAATTATTGAAATTTATTTACAAAAATATTTTAATGGTGAAATTAATAATAATTAAATATAAAACATTTTTTTGGTTTCTGATTTTTTATTATGAAAATTATTTTAGGTGAATTAAATAAAAATAATTAAAGCAAATAAAAGAATTAAAAAGAAATAGAAAAGAAAAGAAAATAAAAAGAAGATGCAAACCAAGGGGGTATCAGGCCCAGAATGGAGGTTTTTTGAAGTAATTTTGGCCCAAGAGACAAGGCCTTATTTGACTTTTCTGATCATGCGTATGAGGCTTGACTGAGGTACACCCTGGAATTCACGTTATGGCCTTCAGATTGTTCATCCAGGCCATCTGGCAAGCCAATACATGAGGACGTATGGTGGGACGTTGAGAATACGCTGCATATGAATATATTGGAACAAAAATCATGAATTAAATGAGGGGACCTGGGAATCGAACCCAGGTCCTAGCGTTTACCAAACGTGTCCCTTGCCAATTGAGCTGTTGTGCGCGTTTGTATACATAATGAATAGAAAATATAATACACAAAAAACAATGGTTAGTGGTATGAGACAAAAAATTACGCGCCAGATTTGAATGCTCCTATCATGCCTGGACACCTCAGCTTCTTCTTCATCTTTTTCCTGTAAATACAAAACAAGTAGCGGGGGTTTTAAACCCCCACTAAGCATAGCCACGAAAAATAGCGAATAGAAGATGCGTTAACATAAATTGAGCGCGAGGTCATCATTCAATTTGTATGGAGCTCCTGAATTCAACTGCATAGGTCTCAAGGTCCAATTTTTCCATGCAAGGAAAGCCCTATTTTGGAGCTTCTGAAACCCTAGTGTCCTTCAATGGTGAATTTCGTTTTAGGCAACATTAACACAATTCAGTTATACCAAAAGCTTCAGGAGGTTAATATTAGTGTAAATCAATGAATAAAACATATGAATGATGCATAGAAATCATGTTTCGATTATCAACATATTCGTTCAAACCATAACCAAATGTTACCGTTTCTTTGGGTATGAGGACCTGTTCTTGATGCCAATAGCTTCCTAGTAATGTCAGCAAGGTGTTGGAATAAACTTTAGGCCTTGAATGATCCTGCAACTATGATTTCAGTTTTCAAGTTTTTTATGAAAATTTTGCAATTTGGTTATGAGCTTTCAGCAGCTTTTTCGTGTATTCTGGAATAGGGTTGAGTTGTGCATAAGTATATGAAGCAAATTAGGTCAAGAAAGAGCCCATGGATCCAAGAATTAATGTTTTGAATCTTTGATTTTCATCATATATTTTTCAATCTTTTTTCATTGAAATATTTGCCAATCATGGATGATTTTCCTTTTTTGGATGCGAAACGACCTAGCCAGCTTGCCCTAGTATGATTTGCTGCACAAAAAGATTTGAAAAAGCATTATTTGATATTTTCTCATAATTAAATCTAATTAAATGAATTAATAAGAATAAAAATTCAATTAATTAATTAAAAATAAGAAAATAAATCCCTTTGAGCTAAATGGGTCGTGCATAGGCTTTGGGTAATGATTCAAGGAAGAATTTGAGGCCCATTAGCAAATTTGAAGGGTTTTAGGCAAAGTTGACTTTTCAAAATTCCCAAAAATTTCCCAACTTCTCCAATGCATATCTTGCTTAATTTTAAAGCTACGAACATGTTCTTGGACATTTTGAAAAGGTCTTGAAGTCCTCTAACCAATGCCATTGGTCCCATGTCATTTTTATTTACCAATCTCAAGTTATGGTCCTTGACTTAAAGTGCCTTTTTGTTGACTTTTGAAAATGACCTATAATGTTGAAATTGATAACTTTTTGTGAGAGCATTTCTTGGACTTGGAGTGTGAAGATGAGTTGTAGGAAATGTCATCCCCTTCAAAATGAGCTTTGGATGGGATTTTTCTGATAAACCCTGAAGAAGTTATGCCTTGGTCAATTTGCAGTTGACTTTTTCAGCTGTCCAAAAATAGAAACTTTTGCATCTTGAGGCTTTTTGAGCCATGCTTTGAGAATCATGATCAAGAATTGATCAAATGATGATTGTGGCTTCAAAATAAGATGTTGACCAAATTTTTTGACTTTTGACTGTCAAATGACCATTTTGCCCCTGCAGTTGACTGTGGAGCAATTAGGGTTTTTTGACTGTGCAATCTGATGCTGTGAGTCTTGAAACTTGACATATGGATGCTTGACAATGTTTATGAGCACATGGGACTTGATTGGACCCTTGAAAACCTCAATTTCTTTGCAAGACCCAAAACCCTAATTTTGACTATGTTAGGAGGTAATTGGACTGTGCAACCCTTGAGAGATTTTGAACCATCTGGAGGTTGATCTTGGCAAATCTTGAAGAATATGGGAGGGAAAATTTTAGGGTACAACAGTTTGAAATTAGGATTTTGTTGTTTGTTTTCGATATTAGGCATCATTAATTAACTGTTGGAAGTCTCATTTTGATGATCAATGACATTTTGTTTGAGGTTGTATGTGCCACTACTTCGCCATTGACGAAGCTTGAAATTGCAGGTCGAACCGGAAATGCATTTTCGATTTTCATTTTGAACAAAAATGAAAATACATATATGGTTTTAGTCTCTTTTTATTTTCCCCTCCATTTTGAACAGTGGTCCTTACGTTAACGTTTTTTTCGTACTTCTACAGGAGTAATGACTGAGAGATCATCTAGATTAAGGCACGACTAGCTTGCACAACATGCTTTTGTGCAGAGAGAAAGGAGTCAGGCATCACAGGCTCCTTATGCCTCTGGACGGGCTGTGTCGGATGCACGTACTGCTGCATCTGGCTCCGGTGTTCCTGTTTCTACTCCGGCTTCACTGTCCTCCCACAATAGACGAAATTCTCCAGTTCATCTCTCCTCGCCTCCGTCCTCCCGTGGACGCACTTCCTCACTAATGGTTTTTAAGGTGGGAGAGGTATCTGGTTTCCAGCTAACACCAGAGATCACACAACCGACACCTCAGGCCCAACCACAACCTTCATTCTAGGCACCTGAGCTGACACCTGCACCTCAGTCGGCATCTGAGCAGCACCCGAGCAGGCACCCCAAACATCTTAGGAACCTCAGGGGGAACCTCAGAGTTTTAGAGGATGACCGTCTGATTTATCTCTGCTACCTCTGTATTCGGACCATGTTGCTAGATATATATGGGATGGAGAGGTATGGATTTTGACTTGTTTCTTCTATTACATTTTTATTATGGATTTTTGTTGAATGAATTTTGTCAATCATGAATGCAGGAACGTGATCAGCTGAAGATCATTAATTATGGGCGGAAGACCAGTAAACTGGAAGCCCCTCTTGACCCATGGTTTGATGAAACGTTGATGCTTACAGAGTTGAAATTTTTTACAAAGTATGGTTATAGCATTGTTAATCATGGTATGATTAACGCTTTTGTTGAGAGGTGGCACCATGAGACGTCCTCATTACATCTGCCACATGGTGAGATGACGATCACACTGGACGACATTGCGTCTCTGCTGCATCTCCCGATTAGAGGGACATTCTTAGACCATGAAAGGATTGACAAAGAGGAGGCGTTGAATATGTGTGTAGAGAAATTGGGAGTGACCCCTGAGAGTGCCATGACTGGGTTGGACATTACCCGTGATGCCTATGTCAAATATAGTTATTTGAAGGAGGTGTTCACGGCTGAGATAAGGCATGCACAAGTGGTTGATGGTGATCCCGAGCAGGTTATCCTACACCGAATATGAGCTATGAGAGCATACCTTTTGTTTCTGGTTGGCACACAGATTTTTGTGGACACTAGTATCACATACACAGATGTGATGTACCTGGGATACTTTGATGATTTTACGCAGATCCACCAGTGGAACTGAGGGGCTGCTTGTTTGGTGTACTTGTATACGAAGTTGTCGGAGGGATGTAAATGGAAGACGAAGCAGATGATCGACATCATCACACTCCTGATGATAAAATTTCTTGGTCTTTGTGGCGTTTTGTAAATTATTGTGATTTCGTTAATAATAATTATTGTTATTTCAGGGTTGGATCCTCGTGCACTTCCCCTCATCTCGGGGTGGTCATTAGCTATGGATTATACTGAAGTTAAATCGTGTGCCACTGTATACGACCCGCTCTGAGGGAACCAGACGACAGAGCCGTTCCGGGTGTATATTGATCGACTGGTCTTTGATGACATACACTTTTATTCATACAATGACCAGCGTGTCACAATACCATTTGATGATGTAGTGTTGTTTACGGGATGGTTGGCTTGCGGGTCGCACAAGACGACTGCTTATATGCTTGAGTGCGTCATGCGTCAGTTTAGGTACACCTAGTACATTCCTCGGAATCCTGCTGTATCTGCTCCTCCCCTGGTGAAACGCGGGGATATGGATGCTTTGCTTGATGATTATGAGAATCATCTTGTTTCAAATGAGGCTTTGAGTACCATTGCTCCAGACGACTGGAGCTACGTGGACGGTTATATCATATGGTTCTTCAAGGTGTCCTATCCATACCTAATACAGGATGCTCAAGGAAACCCTCTGAGGCCAGCTCATCAAGTGATTCTAGAGGAGGAGCAGACACATGCTGATCATGCCACAGATTTGTTGCCTAGGTGTCGTCGTATCATGGACATTGTGTAGGCGGGTATTAATGGTGGTTTGTTTCCTGATGGCTCTGATGTTAGAGGTGTTCTGGATGTCATCATGGTGGAGGCTCGTGGGGCTATGCAGTACAGGAGGCAGCGGAGGAACGCCCAATAGTCTCTTCTGTTTATATGTATATTGGTTATTGTTTTTTGATTGTATTTGGATATGATTTTGAGTTATCCCCTATATTTACTACGGGCACCTTTTTTACTGTTTTCTGATATCTATTTTCATATGTCTTTGTAGTATGTTTTGTTGTATACGTCTTTGTATTCAATGTGAAACAACGCACAAAAAGACCCACTGTCAGCATAAATCTTTCTGGTAGTGTCTGCATAGAAATCAAATATAATTGTCTAAGCCCTCCACCAGTTAGCAAAAACACTGAATCTAGATCACCTCAACTTCAAATAAACGAGACGTTCGAGAATGGAACCGATAATCCATATTACTTTTCACCAACAAATTTAGTGAAACACAAGCATCATAATAATAACAAAGGGAAAACGGAAGACATGAACCATACTAAGAGGAAAAGTTATCATGAGATGCACAAAGAGGCATTACTAAATGCAAGAAACACCATTTTTTTAGTGGCTATTTTGATTGCTACTGTAACTTTTGCTGCTGGTATTACTCCACCTGGTGGCGTTTATCAAGAAGGACCAATGGAAGGGAGATCAATGGTAGGTAAAACATCAGCTTTTAAGGTATTTGCAAAAAGCAATAACATAGCACTCTTCACCTCTTTATCTGTAGTAATTGTTCTTGTTAGTATCATTCCCTTTTGAAGAAAGCCACAAACAATACTATTGATCAGTGCTAATAAGGTTATGTCTGTGGCTGTGGCATTTATGGCAACTGGCTATGTTGCAGCAACATGGGTGATTTTGCCACATAGTCATGGGATGCATAGGCTACCTGTTGTGCTATTAGCACTTTGTGGTGGCTCTTTAGGAACAATCTTCATCGGTCTTACAGTGATGTTGGTTGAACACTGGCTGAGGAAATTTAAGTTGGGAAAAGGAAAAAAAGGAAAGAGAAGATGAAAAATGCAGATTCTGATAAGGAAAGTGAGAATTCAGATTTTCAAAGTTCTTATTTACAGGGTTATCATTCATATTAATTAATTTGTTGGCAAAATGTATATCATGAACTATGTAGTTTGAATGTTGAATTATTTCTAGTTGCTTATGCATCATCACATTCATGGAAAATTCTGCGATTAAGTAGAAAACATGGAACGGTTCGTCTTAGAAACACATAATATATAAACTAACGCAGTGCTTTAACACGGAAACAGAAATAAACAAAAGGGGAAGACAAGATTAGATCTTGAATAGTTCAAACAATACAAGATCCATAATGAAATCAAATTGATCTTAGAATACTAGAAATTGGAAAAAAGTTCAAATGCTAAAACCTAAACAACTAAAATTTCAGAAAAATCAACATAATAAGACACTTTAAAGTCCTAACATGATCACAATAACAAACGTGACCAAAGTAGACATAAAACTTGAAGTAACCACCACCATGGTGGAAGATGATGCAGCCTGATCCAAGGTATCAGATGAATAAGGCGCATTCGAAGGAGCCATCATCGGTGACGAGAAGCCTTCAGGCGGAACCGCAATGGTGGTGGGAGTGGGAGGAGAGGCTGGAATTGGATGCGGCGCCATAACTTCAACAAGCAGTTTTTGGCCATTGTTGCAATGATCATCAGTTCCACTGATAAAGTAGAAAGGTCCGGATCTGTCGAGATTAAGAGTGCTCTTTCCGTTCGTAAAAGTAGTGATTGGTTCACTTGTGTCACAGTTAAAGTAATCCTCTTTTTCAACACTTAGGACTGAGTCATTCTCGTACTCAAAAACTGCATAAACAATAAGAAGAAAAAACATGAATAACAATAATAATAACTCATTACTAATGATAATAATGAAAGAAAAAGCATTATTCGTCGAGAATACCGAGAGAATCTCCGATTTGGAATCGGTTAGTTTGAGCCCATTTGGTGTAAAAATCAGCATTGTTTTGATCAGGTTGACGCCAACCTACACGATCACCAACATGAAATTGTCTTGCGGATTGAACAGAAGTAGCAGTAGCCAAGAAAATGATAAAGAAAATGCGTAGAAAGGAAGACATGTTTGAGGTATATGGTTCTAAGTATCTTTCTCTCTAAGAAGTTGGATGAATAATAATAATGGTTGTAACATATAACCGAGAGGGAATGAATAGAATATATATATAGAGAGATGATAAGAGAGAAAGTGGGTAGTTATTACTATTGGTGATAAGAACAACGTGGTTTGGGTAGTGATAGTGGCGGTTATTTGGTTTGAAGAGATTAAGGAAGTGATGTTGGGGTAGTTATTTGGTTCGAAGAGATTAAGGAGATGATGTTCGTGTGAGAGAACTCGTACTGCCACCTCATTTTGCGAGCCACGTTAGTACAGGTTTAATTATTTAATTTAATTCATTAATCATTAATATAACTAAAAGGATTCATACCCGAAATAAATGTCGTATTTTGAAAAAAAAATATTTCAAAATATTTATTTTATATTTTATCTTTTAATTATATTATTTAATAAATATTTTTAATTTATTATCTTTTATTTAATATTAATATTAATTTGAATATATCAATAATTAAATAGAATAATTTGATAAAATTAATATTTTCTCTTTTATTTATTATTTCTTAATTTATATGAAATAGTCCATTGTGATAAATAATATGGAACGAATGAAGTATTTAAAACAAGAATATGTTATTGGAACATTAATATTTGACATTTAAATCGTGTTATATTGTCCACAAATATGATGATTAATATTTTTAATAAAAAATAAAAATAAATTATTATTTTATAAGAAAAATATATCTTTAAAAAAATTTTAAAAAATTATTTTGTAATTCAAATATAATATTGTATTTTTAACAAATTTCATATCATTTTATTAATCACACAAATATATCTTTTTTTTTTGTAACCACACAAATACATCTTATTAATTCTCTATTTTACTTATAATTTATTAATCAGTTTTACTACTCTTTTAACCAATAAATTATAGAATATTAACTATTTTCAAACAATAAATTATAAACTCTGCTAACTAATATTTTACAATCTATTAAATAATTTTTTATGTTTAAATAGTCGTTTGTACCTTATAAATTGGCGAGTTTTTTATTTTAATCTCTAATTTTTTTTTAATGAAGTCTCTATATGTTACTTTCTTGTTGGTGTTAGTACCTGATGTCAAAGTTCTGTTAAAAAAAATTATATGGCTAACATTGCTGACTTGACTTTTGTTTTTTGATTTTTATCCCGACACTTTTTATTACACGTGGAAATGAAACATGGGAGTTATTAAAAGAAGGGATGAAATTCAAAATTGACTTCATTTTGCAACTTCTTCCTCTCTTCATTAGTGTTACCTTCTTCTTCTTCTTCAGTATATTCATCCATTCATCAATGGCTTCTTCCTCAACGGTTAACTCCATTCCTTTGCAATCACAATATATGGTTGTAATATATCAATGAAATTGTTCGTCTCGAACTCACTTGAAAACCCTAACATGAGATATTATAAAATGTCAAAATTATGGGTTAATGTCAAGTTACAAGTTGTTCATATGGGATGATGAACTTGAAACAAAACACTTCAAGTCAAATCATAAATTCAAGTGGATGTGATTGCTCAGAGGTTGTGAAGCATTTAGTTTGCATTGTTAAGGAGCTTCTGACTAGGAAAAAATAGAAGGTGAAGATGAAGTTGGAAAACAAAAGGAGAAAAGCCAATTTATTCAAGCTTTTATTGATTGTGTCATGGGGTTTGCTCATTGCTTACCAAAAACAATGGTGATTCTCATCTAAAAGTGTGTACTTTTTTCTGTCCCTGTAACAAGCACTCTTTATGAATTTTTTCCTTGGTTCCACCTTGTCGCGGCGGAAAAAATTGAGATCAAGCTATTGATTAACTTAACTCGAAAAAAACAAGAGTCGTCACCAAACTTTATTATTTCCAAAGGAAAGGGAAAATATCTAAAAAATCCATTGTGAAAATAAAATAAAAGAGAGATCTGGATACGAGGTTTAAATTGGGTTTTCTAATAAGCTTGGTAGTTTAAATTTTTTTCACAAACTAACAATAAAGAATATAACTAAAGAAAGACTATAAATGACTCTTTGGTTTATCCAGGTTAACCTCTCAACTAAGCTACTAATGTCCATCCTCCTCAGGTGATTTCGCTTTCAACAAGGACTTAATCCACTAATCTCAACAGATTACAGATGCACGGGCTACCTGCCGGTGACTAACCACAACCGTCTAAGACTCCAAACTGACACCTTATCCCTCTCAAGTCTCATACTAACAACCTAGTCTCTTGAGGCAATAATCAATTTTTAACAAAATTACAATCAACTACGTTTACAGTGTTTGCTTCTAAATAAGAAGATGAACACAACTATGAAGAGCAAAGTATCTAATATAAATAATGAGCAACAACTCTTTGTATTGAGAAATCTAAGATTAACACACAAATAATGAGCAATAAATCTTTATGTTTAATCCATAATATCTTGACACAATAACGAGCAACAACTCTTGTGTTCTTGATATTTCTCTAGAAGAATATATATGGATGTATATGAAGAGTGATTCTTTTTTTCTCTTGATGTTTCACAGTATTCCAGCAATTTAATTCAAGCGTGATAATGGTTGGTAGTTCGTCAATCTTCAAATGTTGATGAGGTCTCTTTATATAGACTTGAAAATAAGACTATTGATAGTATGAAGACGTCAATTTCACTTGCTAGCTACAGTAACGATAGTATTTCATCGTGGGAGACAACATAGTACAATACATAAGCAAGTAGTGGTATTTCAAACGTATTGATTGTACTATTAAACTTTGTGGCTAAGTTTTCTTCTAACGATTTACTTTTGCTTGAAGTAGTAAGCTTGGAAGATATCTTTTGATCTTGTCTCTGTCTTCTTGTTAGAATATTTATGATTGAGGAGTGATAATGATCCAGAAGATGCTTCATTGTTGTATAGCCAACGTCTTTAAGATAGTTGAATATTGTCTTAAGATATATAAGAAACAACTTATCTGATGAACAACTTCTTTGAGTGAAAGCTTTTTTGATCTACTTCATCTTGACCTTGTCTTGATTCCTTGATAACCAGCTTTTCTAAGTTGTATATCTGATGTCTGATTTCTGAAGCAACAACTTATATCAATACATCTGATTTTGATGTTGAGTCCTTCTTTCTGATCTCTTGATATTTGGATTGATTTCCTTTCTGATGAACATTCAGCATTCCTTAGGAATACTGATGTTTCTTTAGAAACAGTCACAATATTTCTTCTATTGAGTGTGTCATACCCCAAATTTTCCATACTGGTATTAATAGTAAATGTAGTTTATTTAATCTTTTTTCTATTAAATTTTTGTGTTACTACACATTTGTTTAAAATTATAATGCTAACTTATATTTACGTTGTGTTCATTATTTTAAAATCGTTGTTTTTTTTTCTAAATCTTGGGGAAGGGTTTTATTTATCATTTTTATAAGAGGAGTGTGTGTTTCACAATTATCAAATAAGTCTAAATTGGCCCATTAAGGTCTTTTAGGAAGCCCGTTAGAATATATTTTGTTAATTTTAATTTTACAATTGTTGACTGAAGTCAACATTAGTCTTAAATTATTATTATTATTAAATCTTATTATTAATATTTTTTAGGATTGACCTAAGGTCAATATATATTTATGCGTTAAACTCTTCTTTTTATCTACATTTTTTTATTATTAATATTGTTAGAATTTTGACCAAGGGTCAAAATTTGGGTTTTCTCTCAAACCTTTGTGCAAGCTGCACTTTTTATGGATTCCTTCTTCCCCAAGACAATCAAAATCCCATATTCCAGAAATCTTTTTGAATCAAATCTGAACCAGATATTTGATTGAGAAAATTATTTTATTGATTAATCATGAACTTATATACAACATTGTCCAAATACATCAGATTGTAAAACCCTAAATCTATTTTACTAACTAAATTAAATCGAATCTTGTAATTGTATCAATCTAACATAAAACAGA